TTAAAATCCTCGCATTGCATAATTATGACCAACTCACCAGCGACAGCCTGGCAGCTAGCGAATTGCGGCAAATTTTCCCAATTTTCCCTCATACAACGCAAACGTAATTAAAATTATTTTATTTTCAAATAACAACAAACACCCATACACACACACACACACACATGACCGGAGATAGGAGAAATGCAGGAAAACATTGAAAATTAATTTTCATCTAAGCTCGAAACGCCGCTCGGCATCGAAAAACCATCAACAAATTGTCAGGCTTTTCATTTATTTGCTGATTTTATTTGCTATTTTAGCCATCGCATCGTAGCCTGACAAAATGTTCGTGGCCATGTTTACACCGAAAACGTGTTTGAAAATTTTGTAAATTTTATTCAGCCATTATTGGCTTGCCTTGCGGTTGCGTTGGTTTCGATCTGGCCGAAGATTAATCAAATAGACTTTGATTGGGGTTGATGAAATGTATATCTGACCATTGAATAATGTTAATATTACTTAACCTTTTATCATATTACACCTGTAAGGCCATAATAAACATAATATTGTGTCTGTTCTTGGGCCATCATTTATTTATTATTCTATCTCCTTTTATTCGTCGTACTTTATTTAAATATGTGCATAACTTCAGGACAGATGCACCCCAAGCACCTGCAGCATCCTTGAAAACGAAAATAAAAACAAAAAAAAGGCATAAACAAAAATAAAGAAAACCCAAAAAATATATATGTAAAAAAAAATAAAATGCCAACGTACAAAAGCATTTTTTCCGAGCCGTGCTCTCCGCTACTGACTGCATATTTCATAGCAAAACAAGAAGAAGAAGGCAAACTGCTAGGAAAATACAAAATAAAAAAATGATGAGAAGAAAAAAAAAACGAACAAAAACAAAAACAAAAATGAAAATGCTAAACAAAGAAAATAAAAGCAAGCGGCAAGCTATACAAAAAATGGGCGCAAGGCAAAACTAAAAGTTAAAAGAAAAATGCCGCGCTTTTGCCAAGAGTAGTGCTTTGGTCAGGGTTCAGGGGTCACAGAGGGGTTCAGTTCGCATTATTTTGTATTACAGCGTCCCCATGTACCATTCAGCACTACCCTAGTTCGTACTATCCAACCCCCACACTTCCCTCAGCTCAGCTTGTATTGCAATTTTTCAATTTCAAAAACAATTTTGCTCTGCCAACATACGTGTGGTCAAAGATAAGCTCTGTAAATATATATATATATATATGTATGTATATATGAATACGGCCAAAACGAGGAGGAGGGCTGTAAAAAAAAAAAGAAATCTGAACCCGCCATAAAAACCAAAAAAGCGGCAGCCAAACCAAAGCTAACCGCAGCTCAAGCAGCTATTGCAGCAGCTCAAAACTGGCCAAAGCCAAAGCCAGAGAGGCAGAAAGAGGAATATCACGAGTCGAAATACCAAAAATAAAAAATGCTATATGGGTGCCTCTATATATATATATATGTGTGGGTGAGTGTCAGCTTGGAACACAGCGGGAAATTGCACAAAAATGAATTGTGTTGTGGAGCATTTAGTGCTGAAATATATAAGTGACCTGCTGGGCGGGACAGCTGCAGAAAAAAACAAAAGGGGACTCAGCGATTTCAAAAGGGGGTACGTCGCAAAAAGAGGCTTCTGGTCTAGGGCCAGGCTTCCTCAGCTTTGTTGCCGGATTGATTGAATTTTCCTTGCCACTGCCACAGCTTAAACCTGCAAAAGTTACATGGAAAGCGGAATTTCATTTTTGCCTGTAATAGCTCTTATGAGAGGTCATATTTAAATAGGATTTTAACTTCAAAAAAGCAGGAAGTGTACGTCAAAATATGTTTTTTCTTCTTAATATTTAGTAAAAAATTTTCATTGATTTATAATTCCTAATTTAAGTAACCTTTAATTTGTTATTATATGTATTCTTTTACCCTTTGCTTTCTTTAATATATTATTATCATTTTGCTGTTGTTGCTGATAATTTTGCTGGCGTTTGTGATGATGCGGCTCCTGCTGGTATTGCCATGGCTGCTGATTTCTCTGACCACATCTTGTTCTGTGTGAACAGCTTGGCAAGTTCTCAAGTGCATTAATGTTGTGTTTTGCGGTTAGCGCAATGCGTCGGAGTTATTAGGGCTGTGCTGATGACAAATGCAGCAGGAAAAGAGGAAACCGTATCTCCGCAATGAAAACATTCATAAATACTATGAATTGCGTGTTGGCTTTGACAGTTGCTAAAAGCCATGCAACTTCTTCATTGCTTTTGAAGGGAATAGTAGTTGTCATGACAATAGAGCTATGTATTTTCTTTTTTCTTTATTTGGATTATCTGTTAAAGGAATAACACAAACTTCTTTTTCAGATTTAATTATAAAAATAACTTATCTCCTTTCCTTTGAATAATTAAAAAACATTTTCTTTCAAGAACTTTAAACCTTATTTCCTAATTAAATAAACTTTCTTTTAAGGCTGAAAACAGAACTTTCCAGCGAAATCCAAAATGCATAAAAATCTCTTCTACCCTCAATTTAAAAAATAAAACCAGACTTGATTAATTTGAAACTGCCATTCGAATGAATCCCCTGCTCTCTTTCTCCGTGAACGAAGCAAATGTTCTGATCCGTTGGTGAGTAAGTGCATCAGCCATTGGCGGAAATCGAATTCATTTGGGGCTTTCGCCGTCCTGCGGCAAACAGTGCGTATGTGCGATGTGGCTTTTTCCAATGCCAAATCGCAACGAAAGCGCCAAGCAAATTGACAAAAGCAGGGCGGCGGCGGCGGCGGCTGCAGTCGTCGCCCAAAGGCACTCAGCGGTTCTGGCAGTAGCAATAACACAAAACCGCAAATCCCTAAGCCGCTATAACATTTCTCAAACGCTGCCAAAAGAGGGGGTTAGGGCGGAGAAGGTATGGGTTAAAAGTGTAGCCAATCGGGGCATTGAAACCAGCGTAAGCCGCTAACAGAAGCAGCTGCAGATGTAGTTGCAACTGCAACTGCATCCACAAGCTAAGAGAGAACCGAGAGAATCAAGCCAAGCGGAGCATGGCGAAGGCAAACAAAAGCTTAGCGGGCATAAAAACAAAATGCCAAATGCGAAATGCGCTCCAACAAACAATCAGACCCCCATCTTAAACCCAATTCCAATCCAGCAAGCCAACAACCAATCCCAAACCCACATCCAATCCCAAACCCAAGTCCAATCCAAGCCAGAAGCAAATCAAAGCAAATGCAACACTCAATTGCCATTATCGACGACGCCAAGCCAGTTTTCTTCTAAGGGCTGCCTCTGCCTTTTGAAAACAGAAATGAAAATACCTCGAATGAAAATGTAACTGCTTTCAGCCCAAAGATCTCCGACGATTGCCGGCTTTCCCTGCCAGGATTTTTATATTAAAAACCGCTTAATGGAGTGCAACTTATTGCATGTGCACTAGAAAGAGACAGCAGACTGAAAGGAGCTCTGCTCAAGAATTGCAATAAAAATTAAATGAAAATGGCAATGAAATTTCCTTTCCTGCCCAATTCGACAATAAAAATTCAATGACCACGTATATTTGACCTAAAAAAGGAATTTTATTAGTGTCCTTGAAAGAGCTTAGTACAGCTATTAAAATTGATGATTGCCAATTGATTTTAATTCGTTTTATTTTAAATACTTTTTAACTTGATTTTGGCTTAAGTTGTCATAGTAAATAATCCATAGTCTGGCCATCACACTTTCTCACAGGCTACCATTTCGTATGCAGAACTCTTTGCCTTGCATGACGGGGCAAGTAGAGCAGTGGCACCTTAAGTAACATAGGCAGAAAGCAACCCAACCACCTGTCCGCCAAGAAGCTGCCCTGCCCTTGCCAAGTGAGTTAAGAAGCCCAGGCAAGAAGGTGCTCTTTTTGCTGTTCTTTAATTTGAAAAAATTGTCAAGCATCAAAATACTTTTAGAGCTTTTCCTCAGCCCGAAGGCAGTGGGGAAAATATGGTAGAATGGAGAGCCCAAGTTACTTGGCCAAGTTACTTGTCAGCAGCCGCGTGCGGTGCGTGCAAATAAATCAAATAAATTATGGAAAAACCAAAAGTAAAGTGTGAGAAATGGTAACGCTTTCCCCTGCTGCTCAAAATCCTATGGCCTATTCATATGCTTATGTTGTAACCCAAAAAAAAAAAAAAAGGAGGAAAAATCAGACTAAAAGAGTGAAAATTTCTGTTGGCTGCGTTGCAGCAGGAGCAGTGGCAGCAACAGCAGCATCTGCTGGAAAAAAAAAAAAGGAGTAACACCGACCATAAAAAGTAGCACCAACATCATAATCAACAGCAAAAAAATATTAATGGAGTTTTCATGTTTATAATGTCATTAGCTCACAAATGCTGCGGATGCTGTGGAAGCTTATGCTGCTCCTGTTACTGTTACTTCTGCTACTGTTGCTGTGTTGCACATGTGCCGTGATTCTCTGCCACATATTTTCTGTGATTTTTTCACTCCTGCCACCTCCTTGGGCCGCACATCCTTTACGCGCGCACACAGAGACAGCCGTAAACATGCAGCATACACACACACAGACACATCTATAAATGTGCGAACACTAATGTGCACATTATGTTGGGGCCATTATGCCGGGTTCTACGGCTGCTCCTCTACATCCGCCTGCTCTTCATCCTACTCCCCTTTTAGTAAAGCCAAAGGGGCCAGGAGCTGCCGCTGCCCACCAGACCATGCACAATGAGTTGGTTTGGTGGTTTGGCTCATGCTTGGCGACGGGTTGGCGCTACCAGTTAGCAAGTAAAAACCCTTTAACTCATTTGTTTTGCTTAGCACAGCAACAACAACAACAGCTATTGCTGGGGGAGCTTGTGAATGGTAAAGTGGGCGGGCGGCTTCCTGTGTAAAACAGGAGGCGTGTGAAATAACGTTTAGCTTGACGTTATGGGCCAAGATGTACACACAAACCCACACACATGGATAGACTTTCTATTACTTGGATTAAAGTCAAACACATTTTTAAACCCATTTCATAATAAAAACTTTTTTATAGCTGAATTTCTAGATATTACATCATTCTATAAGCTTACTATACTACACTTGCCGTCAACTTTATTCAAATATTACCACTATTGCTCAAGATCCGTCATAGATGGCCGACTAACTGGCAAATCCAATCGGTCACGCTGCAGACCATCACAAAATCTAAGGCCAGCAAAGTGTTCAATGTCCCGGATATCAGCTAAAAACGATAACAGATCCATTTCCTTGTCGACATAAGCATTGGGCACAACATATCCTTCCATGAATGGCAACTCATTGTCCAGAGTAGTATCCCTGATAATGATTTTAAAGAAATGAGTTGGTACAGCCACTGTGTTCATGCCGATCACATGATAACGTGTCGACCAGTTTCTGAAGGTAATCCTTTGTGGCATAAATATGGGACCGGTATAAACATAGATTGAACCCCATTCCAGGGACATGTCCCTTACATAGTTCTCCAAACGTTGCCAAACATGGTTCTTAAGTTTCCTATTGATGGGTACAATGTTGGGAAATTTATAAGTTTCCAAAAATTTCACAACATCACATCCGTAGTTGTGCGGCGAAGCCAAATGGCCTCCAACAAATTGAGTGTTCTTAAAATCTCGCATATCTGCACTAAACATTTGCGGTATCGTAACATCCGAAATGTATGCTTTTGGTTTCTCAAGTTTCTGTGTGTCTTTCATAGTTAAACAGTCTCCTGTAAGGTGCTCACATACCCAGTGGGCAATACGATTGCGACGGTCATAGGAAAGTACGAAATTCTTATAGACATGGATCTCATCCAATCCCGGAAAGCCGTACTTCATTATATCAGCTATATGATTGTATTTCGTATCTGTATAACTTCCTCGACCAATCTAAAACGTCATGAACATAAACTTCTATAATCTTCAGTTATGATTTATTCTTTATCTTTTAAGTTTAAACTCACTCACTGCTCTATAGGCCTTTATCCTACTCCACAAGGCAAATTGCTCGATTAGGGAGTATGATTTTCTGACACTGTCACTCTCAGTGTTTCTCGGAGTTGCATTACTTAACCGGGTAATATTATCTTTAACTCCCAAGAATGATAACTAAAATGCAAATTGGTTAAAATTAAATTTAAATCTAAAAAAGTAACCACTTACTGACTCGAAGATGTTTTGCCTGCAATGATAAACATAAGAATCTGTGACCATGACAGACTTTATTTTCTTATATGACAAATGTTGTTGGACAAGAGCACCGATAAGAAAACAGGAGACTCCCGCTAAAGCACACAATGACACAACTAAATAAGTTGTGAACATTTTTATGATTCCTAGACTTAGGCCTAGGTGTGCAAAATTGGACTTTTGATGCTAAAATTTCAGTATTACCCTGCAGATTGGCTGGCGAAATGGTGTTTTATCAAACATTTTAAGGCAAAATTTTGAATTTTTCTAGTCTAGTCTGTGTATGAAAGTAAACCCTTGACAATTTAAGCAAATGTTTTCCAATTTCCTTGTTGATTTAACTTTTCCTTTGCCAAGGTAACTAAATTTACAATTTTCAAGTCAGAAACTCATATATTCCACACTATTGCTTAACAAACATTTATTTTACAACGAATTTAAGCCCTGATGACATTCTATCTGGCCGTCATATGGGCTCAGCATATTTGCACTTTAACACCTATATGCTCGTAAATATTATGAGTGATGTCAACTTAATGACTTGACACATATATTTGTGAGGAGGTTGAAGGCGTTTTAAAGTTACTTGCCACGCATATTGAAGACATCTTCATTGAGCAGCTCAAGAAAGTTGTCTGCTTAAGGTTAAATAGAAAGGAATTTTGTGCTAATTCATGACAGAATGTACAACCCTCTCCCGTTGCCACCCCTTAACACCCACAAGAAAAGCTAAAATTTTCTGCTCCCTTTCGCGACGTTTTTCTACTTTATAATGATAACATTTTCATGTTTTACAATGTTGTAATGCCATGGATATGAGTCTCAAAAGCGGCATCATGCCCTAGACGATGTTTTTATGACGTCATTTAGGGGTTAATGTATGAACGAGTGTGTGTGTGTGGGTGTGTGTCATCGTTGATTCATTAATTTTGAAAAGTTTTCCAAAACTATTAACAGCAACAATCTTTCCACCGAGACATTAAGATTTGCCTGCTATGAGCTGTAAGAAATTTTCGTTGTCAATTAACATTTTGCCGGGGAGTGAATGCATTATTAAAGGGCTCAATCAGCCTTGGCCGGAAACGGAAGTGAATTTCAAGTTTTTATTCCCACACTTTCCATTGGGGGTTGGTTAACTTTTTTTCGGGGAGGCGGTGTAAAGGGGGAAAGTGCACGTTTACATCCGCATTTAGTTCGCCTTTGTTTGAGGCCAGCAAAGTTAGCGCATTTCATTTATTCATGCCTCCTTGACCAGGCCTCTCTCTCTACTGTCCTCCTCCGCCAGTATTTCCCCATTTGTTGCGCTTTCCCGTATTTTCTTCTTCTATATTTATTTTTTTTTCTTGAAGGAAACAGGAAGAGGCAGCATGTCGCGTCCTGTGCTAAATGTAATTTTCCGTTGTTAAATCCTGTTTTTCAAAACTTCTTTCCAAAGTGCAAAGGAAGTCAACTCGAGCAGACAACAAGCAAAACGTAACAAGAAAAAGTAGAAGCGTAGGGTTGGGAAAAACAAAAGGAAAACCTGCAGTGCCACCAAGAAATATCAGACAGTTGGCGAGAGAAATAAATTACTAAGCACTCATCATCTCTTCAGCTGCAATGTGGACAGAGGTAATTTTTTCAAATGGTAAAATCAAGTCTTTGGACAAGAATTAAATAATCACTGTGATTAATGAAGTTAAAGGAAAGAATAAGAGATTTAAGAATAAACTTATTACCTTTATAACCTTTTCTTTCTTAATATTAAACTTAATTTGAAATATTATCTGCATAATATATTTCCTCTCCCGAAAAATCCTCCTCCTTCTCAGAGAGTTATCGCCCAAGTTGATGGTAAATATTGTTCCAAGCCACGCCCAACTAATTACAACTTCTTATGTCCCGCAACACATTTACTTTAATTAAGTTATTTGCCCCGCCCATTGAGGGTACATTTTGGCTGGCCAAAATGACAAATGCTCCAAGAAGAACGCCTACCGAAAAAGAAAAAAAACTTTACAGCAGCGCGGAAGCAGGTCATAGTTTTTATATGTGAGAGTACATCTACTGACTGACAGCCCCATCTTCCTACTCTGCTACCCCTGCTACTTGTTTTTATTCCTTTGGCCAGAACTCACGACTCACTCTGTCCCCGAGGTCTTTGTCCACTTGCCAGGAAAACAAATTTACGGCATTGCTTTTAGTTGTTCCTCGTTATTGTTGTTGCACATTTGAAATGTACATAATAATTCACACTCTCTGGGAAAAAGGGGGGTGGTGGTGGGAGGGGTTCCACGCACAAATCTACGCCAAAAGTAAAGTCATAAGAAAATGCATAAAACATGCCCAACATTCGCCGTCAACGTCGCCAACACTTCAGCTGCCTGCCTGCCTGACTGCCTGCCAGGCAAAAACTTTTCTCATCATCAACCACAAACAAAGGCCAAAACAATGGCAGAGCAAGCGAGATAGCAACACAGGCCAGAATGAGAGGGGAACGGGGGTAGAAAGGGGGCCCAAAAAAAGCTGAAACCCAAATCGGTGGACCAGGCCCAAAACATAAATTGCTGCAGGACAGAAAATAGTCAACACTGGGGAAAATTTTCTTTGGAATTTAAGAAATCTCAAAAATAAGAAATTAAAAAACTGACCTAAAAATAATTTTAAAAAATTATTCTTTAAAAATTTCATTTTTATGTGTGAGAAACCTTCTTCTAGAAACCTTCTTTGATTTTAAAAATAATATTTTATATTATGATGAGAGTTAAATATTTTAAATAGCTTGGAAATAGCTTAGACTTGACCAAATTCCAAAAACAAATCATTAAAGGTTATTATTTATTTTTAAAGATTTTTAAAAATTTACAAAAATTGCTGAAATCTCAAAGTGCGCCTCTTAGACCTACAATTAAGTTAAAAGTTCTGCCACCCCAGATTTTATTCGAATTAAATAATTTTCGATTCATCTAATTAAATATTTAAAAAAAAAATCATTTAAAATTATTAATATATATTACTGTGTAGACAATGGCATTGCCAGCTACACCGAAAGACGCTAGCCCACTGCCACGCCCAACCGGCTAAGCCACAACAACTTTGCAGCAATTAAGCTTCAGGCCAGTTCTGACATTGGGCCCAAAACAGCAAAAGCTAAGGCAAGAGCGGGGGCCGAGAGCAAATAATTTTTAATTGTACTGCACAATGCTGTAAAATTAATTCATCTTTTTCACACTCAAATAAATTGCTGTTGACGCGACAACAACAGTTGGGTGGCATTTTCCGCAGGAGGATGGAAATGTTAACAGGGGAATGGGAAAGGGAAGTTGTTGTCGCCGTCGTCTGCTCAAGAGCGTAAATAATTACATTTTCTTTGTGCTGTTGCCAAAACGTTGCAATTCCTGAATTTCTGCTGCTGCTGCTGCTGCTACTTCTGTTGCTGCCCCTTAAACTCGAATCCGCAGCCACCTACCCACTACTTGTCCCTCATTCGCGCTGCCTTTAACTGCAACCTGTCACTTGCCGGTGGCAAAGAAAGAACAAAAAAAAAAAAAAAACATACATACATGGCGGATACGTAACGTGCTGTAAGAACAGCAATTTCTTTAATATATTTACGCCCAATGCTTGTAGCAAAACAAACAATGACGCATACAATTTATATTTAATTATGCGCAAATTAGTCTGCTCTACCCTCTTGCCCTCTCACAAAAACTAACAACAAAAAACCCAAAAGCAGTTGGTGGTGTTGGCACATGACAAACACTCGCAACTTTTTGCCCCCTATTCCTATATATATATATATATATATACTATATAGCATAGATGCGGGTTCCTGGGAACTCAGCGAGTTTTTGTTTACGGTTGAGTTTCGTTCGGGATTTTACGCTAATTTCCCTCACTAGTTCACTGCGGCCATGTTGCACTTTTTTCATATTTTTCTTGTATTGCATGCTTGCAAGTAATTTGCCGAAAACCTTATGAATATTCAACAGCCGGGGGCAGGCAATAGCTTACAGTTATGACCTGAAGTTACGAAGGCATCTCATTGCCTTCACTAAATGCCGGCCGTAATCTATCCGTTTAAATTATTCAATTCCTATGCCCCGGCTGCTGTCCGGATTTGGACACCTCACAAGTTGGACGACTCAGTCCGAAGGCTGCCACGTGGCAGGATTAAAAGCTCTCCGGACGATGGGCCAACTGTGCGTATAAGCAATTAATAGAAGAATAAGTATCGGTGGGGGAAATGGAGAAAAAATGCAACTTAAAATGATTCAAGCTAATTATCATTATAATTTGTTTTTACCCTTAATTTCCATTTCTTCTCTTTCTTTCTTCTTTCTTCTTCTTTCCAGATCGATGCTGCAAAAAAAAAACCTATGAATATTTTTCCTGTACGCAAATTCTTTCGACAAGAATCTCGATCGCTGGTGCTTCAAAACTTCAACGAAAAGTACTTCAGTCGAGAAGAGTTCTTGCCGTGAAGAGTTTAACAATTTAAGTTGAGCAAAGAATCTGCACAACTTTGTCAATCGAATAGTTTTGCCAGCGTGAAACTTTAAAGACACACCTCTCTGAGGCGGCTGACACGCCCCCTACTACCCCTCACCCCCTTTAATTTATCCCGCTTTCCCTGGCCAACATTTGCACACTCATTAAACGGTGCACATCAAGTTGGTCCCCGAAGCCCGCACAATTTATGGCGGCAACTGCACGAGTTGCATGCCTCCGTAATTAACTTGTTGTACCCGCCTCGTTCGCATGCAGCACAGTGGGGCGCATATAGGGGCTGGCGACGGTACAGGTGGCACTGCGGTGTGGGTGACTATTATTAGGAGCCCCGAAGCGATGGCAAGAACACTGAATTTATGAATGGCACACAGTTTTCGAGAGGGGAGTATCGAGGGGAGGAGGGTGCGAGAAACGATGCGGCTTTACAGTGAGATTAAACTAGTGAGATGAATGTATAAATGGGGGTAAAATTATATTTAAAAAGTTATTTAATAATAAAACAAAATATGAAAATACATAAGAAAAGAAAAGAAGGATTTAACATTTTTAGCTACTTTTTATGTTAAGAAGTTTGTACTTTCAGTACTCATTATCTAAACTTCTATTTATTCCTTAGATTTTTCCATTATATTTCCTCTCTAAGTTCCTTATTTTTACCCACAGTTCTAGCTCCTGTAGTTCCCAACTTTTTTTTTACAATTTAAACCTCTAAGGAATAACTCTCCATATGCCAATGTGAGTGAAATTCGCCAACTGTCGTTGACAAGCAAAGGAAATAATACATCGCTGGAAAACCACGTCAAACAACGGCGTCTGAAGAGAGAGGTTAACTGTAAAAAGGGAAATGGGTTGTAGACACGGTCTTTCCGCCGCCAGGGGTCGCTGCATGCATGTGAATTGCTGAATTGGGTGCGCCGTCTCTGAGAAACAACAATGCCAAAAACCAACAACAACAACAACAAGCTGAGCAACTGCAAAATTGTCGCGACAACAAAACGCTTGAAATGTCTGTGACCTTTGAGAGGGGGGAGGGGGGGGAGTGCTTGGGGTCACCCTACAAGGGGGAGCATCAAAGGCGCAACACCTTTGCAGACGAGTCCTTTGGGTATTTTGGTCGCAAATTGTTTGACTCGGCAGACGCATTATACAAATGAGAAAATGAATTAAATAAATTCGCATTGTTTATACTTATGCGTGCCTGAGGTCGTCAACATATGTGGAAATTGAAAAGGTTTCAGTTGGTTTTAAGAACTTAATATAAAATTTTCATTTGACTATAGT